TTCAAATATGCATGTTCTAATGCACCGTTTTTAGCACTCATCTGGGGCGTTGCTTCGCTGCAATAGCCCATTCTTTCCCCCCGTGTGTACTCCCTAAAACCCTAAAGCACACCGGAGTTCAATACTTCCGGGAAAGTCTTATTCCATTTTCCAGCTTATGGAACTATAGAGTTGCACTTGTTCAGGTCAAGACGGCGCGGAAGCTATTGGTCTGTCCTGTATCCTAGAGTCGTGGCTAGTGTAAACTGTATCAGGTATAACAATGGAATACGAGAACATAGAGAGCGAGGCAGGTCGTGATAAGACTTGGCTGATGACATGCAAGTATACAAGTACGGCGCCCGTCGATGGTCGTTGCAGGTCGTCACAGTTCTGGGTCTGCCCCAGGGACTCGGTGATTGGAGGCCCGCTTGGACACAAGTATGTCTTGCCGCGGAATGCCACCCTGGGGACTTCCCTCAAGTTGCCGGGTGACGGCGGTAAACTGGACTTCATGTTTATGAAGCTGAAGGTGTACTCCGTCTACTGTGTCCCTGAGGGAGAGGTTCCTGGTGGGTGGGTGAAAGCTACAGTGCCGAGCCTAAAAGATGTGTACGGGGGGAGCATCAAGGAAAGCCAGCTCTATTTCCTCCTGTCCTATGAGGGAAAGGAGCAGGAGTTGCACAGACAGCTCCCCACCTTGTCTGCGGACGAGGTCGAGAAGAGCATGGTTGTTTTCAACCCTTTCAACGGGCGGTGGGGTCTTGCTCGACTCAGAGATATGTTTATCGCACCCGAGCCGTACGGTGAGTGGCCCACCGGCATGCTCATTGAGGGGCTTCTGTGGGTAGAGGCTGCTTTGCTAACATTCGGCCCCGTCTACCCCAAGGTGTTTTCCCGCCCTGGGTACAAGGAGCTACTGGCGGCTGAACTCACTGGGCCCCCCATCTTGTAGAGGGCCATATGCAAGCTTGCCTTAAGGTGGCAACTCAGGTGGCCTTGTGATGATGGGGATTGACAATGGAGGGGGCGGGTTCACGTGTGTGTTGCATTAATTCAGAGTACCGACTGCCAGGGCTGATTAGGGTGAATACCCAGTGGGAGGCTTATTGTCTTAAACCCTTTGTGTGGTCTGGGTGGTTCCAAAAGGGTTACAAGGCAGCCGGCTCATACCGGCACAAGTCTCAAGGATGGTTGCAGAAGGATAGACTGTATCCGCTCGATGACTGCATGCTCGGAGGGGAATGTGCTGTCGGTAGAGAAGCTGGTGGCATGGGTGGAGAAGAAACAAATGGAAGTGAAGGCGCAGTGAAGGCTGCCACATCTCCCACTGGCTGCCTGCCCTCGCTGTCTGGGCGGCCGCCATGTTGACCACCACCAGCCCCCCGCTGAACACCTGTCCCGAGTACACATCTGCGACAGCGAAGTGGACATCCTGAGCGCCGTCTTCCGTGGGCAGGTGGACGAAGTACTTGAGGTAGGCCGCATATGTCCGAGCCTCGTTGCCGACTTCTGCCTGGTAGCATGCCCAGCAGGAGGTCCGCTGCTGCTGGCGCCCGTACTCAGCCCTGAAGTACTGCTCCTCATCGAGTGCCTCGGCATGCAAAAAGGAGCGGGCCTTAGGACAGTCGGGTGGTGTAGACGTGAGAACCCTATCCAGGCGGTCCGTGTCCAGTTCGTAGCTCGCACTGGGACCCAATGTCCAGGAAGCCACGTCCTCGAATGCCAGGGTGTACCAGTGCACTAGGCTCGCCATGGCTGCCCGGACTTGTGCCACTCATTCCGGACTCGGGTAGACCGTGTGGCCTCATCCAAGCAGGTAACCGTTGGCTCCTGGTTTGTCAAACCAGGCAGCCTCGGTGTTCACCGCGCGCCATGCCAACATCCTCTCAAGCTGCTGGTTGGTCGTGCATTTGGCCCCGGTCGCATGGTCTGCCTCGGTGAGCGACTCGGAGGCCCACATCAGGCACAGCCACTGCGTGTAGTGCTTCTCAGGTGCCTGCGACACCATCCTTCCGTCTTTCATCTTCATTTGCTGCATCATGCGTTCCACCGGCAGGTCGGAGAACCCTGCCGCGGACCCAAGTTGGCACTCCTGGTCGTACAGCCGGCATACGCAGATGTGCAGGTTGATCGTGAACATGTAGCCCGGCACCTCCAACTCCTCCAGCCTGGTCGTGTAAGCTCTGAGCTTGCATGCAGCCGCCTTGGCTGCCACCAGGAACTGCTCACGGGTCTTGTCGGGGGGCCGTGGCCAGAAGTAGTGTGTGACCGCGCTGCACAGGCTCCACCACAGGGCCCGCAAGGCCTCGGGCAGCACGTCCCCCTTGAAGATGTAGCTGGAGAACGTCTCGACGAAGTGCAGCCAGTCCTCCATGCGGTAGCTCTTGCTGCATGGGTGGAGGGGGGCAGTGTGGCGAGCAACCGTGTAACTAGAAGAAGTACATTACAGAGCTAGAGTAGCAAACTCTCCGACAGACGAAGGTGTTTTTTTCAGGCAAACCCCTGGTCGTATTTGCTTTCTCGGCTATTAGCGACCCCCGTGTGTGGCCGGCTGCCCAGTGCTGGCCGTGCTCACCGGTACTGCATGATGCATTTGTACCGCCGCCCGAAGTCCGAAGTCACGACCAGGAACTGGCCACGGGCCGCGACCCGCTGGCGTGCTTCACGAGACATGACCAGCTCGGCATCTGGGTCTGCTGGCTTGATGTCATTGAGCGATGTCAGCGTGTAGTCCACAAAGTTGCTGACCACTCTGAACAGCAGGGCATGGCCAGTGGAGACGGTGAAGAGGCACGACAGGTCGATGTACGGCAGGGCCACGAAGGCAGTCAGGCCCTTGCACCCAGTCTGAAGCGCCGGCTCGTCGAACTGCTTCTGTGTGATCTTGTGTGGAGCAAGGTGGAGCATCCTGTACATCGCCTGCATGACACCGCCCGTGCTGACGAAATGCCGATGGGTCTTCTTGAGAGCCCGGGCGCCGACCTTCAGGCTCTTGCCTGCATTCCGCTTTACGAAGTGCTGGCTGACTGCTTGGGTGTAGCCACGGAAGCGCACGGTGGCCCCGCACCCGACATTGGCCTCCATGTGTGCCTCGAATAGGCACCACATGCAGCTGCCGACACGACTGTTCTGGCCGTTGCCGCATGCCACCTTTGCCCTGGCGGGTGTGTCTGCAAGCACCTGGCCCAGGAATACCCGGTGCTGAAAGGGCCATGTGCCCCGGAGGTCACCATCAGCAGGCGCCTGCCCGTCAGCCATGCCGCCCACAGCTGTCCCTCCAGCACCACCAGCTGCAGCACCCTCTGCAGCCTCCGGATTAGCAGGCGCAGCAGCAGGTGAGACACGCATGCCATCACTGGCAAGGCGGAGGAGGTCGTCGACGATGGGCTGGAGGTAGGGGTGGAGGACAGACGGCATCCTGGGGCCGGGGATGATGGCGATGACACGCTGATTCCAGATCTTGCCCTTGTTATGGGGGTCCATGTCCGCACAACGGATGAACAGGATGCCAATACTGTGCTGTGTAGAGTTGTAGGGTGCAATCCAGTCGATGCTGATGTCATAGATAGAGCTGTCTGGGTGCAGGGCTATGCCGCCAGCGTAGGATTTCAGCGACTCCACCCACTCGCCTGCATAAGGCAAGGGCCAGAGAGGGCACATCTCGTCAGCCTGGGACCAGGTACAGCCGACGGTTGGTAACCACGGTGGCAATAGCTAAAAAAGCATGGGATTTGATTGCGAGACTCCCCTTTTGCTGCACCCCCATGCCTGCTTACAACGATTACAATGATGCAAGGGCTGGAGAACAAAGTGAGGGCGCATTGTGGAACCCCTTGAACAGGTGCGGCGAAATGCAAACGGCTACCAACGGCTCGCCCTTTCCTGCCATGGTCACCCGGCCCACCTTGCCACTGAGACGAGCCGGGGGTTGCATCCCCGTGGAACTGCCCGTGCTCCTGACAGAACTGTGGGTTGGTGAAGAACTCCGTATGGACCACCTCCTCGATGCCAGAGTAGATGAACCAGTGCACTGGCTCCCAGACAGCGCGCCCCGCGACGTCCTTCAAGGAGTACCTAGGGCGAGAGCAGTGCGGGCACTTAGGGTTTTAGGGTTTTAGGGTTGCTCCTCAAGCGACCCTGTCGGCCTGCCATACATGTGACCGGGGCACCCCTCAGTGCTGCAGATGTGCACCATGAAATCTGACCAGCTGCGGACGCCTGCCAGGCGGTTGATCATGTACAGGGATGTAGGGAGAACGTGGCGCTCTGGCAACATGGACGCGTACAGCTGCAACACGGACTCCAGTTCGCCACGGCGAGGAACGTGCTCCCTCATGTGGCCTATCACGGTGTTCACTGAGTCCCGCAGGGTCCACTTGCATCGCTGGATGGGCGCCCCCCCCGGCAGCAGTGGGTCGTATACCGACCACAAAGGTGCATCGAGGTGCTGAGTGAAGAAAGGGAGTGTGCCAGGACGGGTGTAGGGGTGTGTACAGCCACAGTAGCAGGTCGGAAGCGCAGGAGTCTCCAAGGCCTCGGGGTTCACATCTTCTTCCTCTGTAGGGGCGGGCGCCTCAGCAACCAGTTCCCAGGGGTCCTAAGGTTTTCATTCCTCGTTTAGCACATCGTAAGGTAATGCAGTTTCGTTTATGTTGCTGGGCTTTGGAGGCAAACAGAGCACGAAGGGGCAAGTACCACGTCCCCAGGGGGCAGCGGTTTTGCCACTGTTGTGGTACTAATGACCGAATTGAGGATGTGAACCCCTGTTATTGGAATGCCCAGCCTATAATGATATTCGTGCTGAAGAGGGATTCGATCATCAACAGAGCATGTTGGAGGCCATGCAATGGGAACCCGCATGTCTGGCAAGGATATTGGAACGTATGTGGGCTCACCGAAACTCAATTACCCCCTTTAGACGCTAGTCTGGGCTGATGTGCGGTGTTTTCCTTTCCTCCGTGGCTTTTAGGCGTTGTAGTATTACCCTTGGGCCCTCGGCTTGTATGAGTAGTCTTACAGGTATGGGGTCACGCACCCCCAACCATGTAACACACACACACGCATAAAACGTCTTCGTCGCAATTAAGCCCGTGAAATTTTACGGGTGTTCTGCATTACGGCTTGGGGGATTACGGGTCAAGACCTTGTGATTACAGGTAATGTAACCTGTGGATGACTTCCAGCACGGGCAACCAACAAAATGTCACCTATGTTCTCCCTTATAAAAGGAATGCTTTGGCAACTTAAAAATAAGCATGTGTACAAATTTTCTTGGCCGGTAATTACATGTGAAGACCACGTGATTACGGGTAAACATGAATTTACGGGTGAAAACCTTTCCCAGAGTGTAGGCTCTACAGTAGAAGGGTGATCCTCCCTTCTACTGCATGCATCATGATGCATGCGGGCCCCCAAAAGCTGCTGCAGTTAGTGTTGTTGCACATGCACAAAGAATGACTCTCTGTTGTATCCTGTAAAGGTTTTTTGCAACGGTTTGGGCGCCGAATCCTAACTGTCGGTTAACTCCAATGTTACTAACACCCGTCAATTCCGCTGTCGGTTATTACAGGTTTTTAATAATACTGCTATTAGTTTAATTGCGGCTACTGTTAGCTGCGGCGGCTAAAGCGACTACTGTTAGTCGTCCGCCATTCAAATGCCGCGACATTGCGGAAGTCCATAGTGACTACTGTTAGTCGTCCGCCATTCACGTGCCACACTGCTGCGGAAGTCTATGGGCGCAGGCGGCTAAAGCGACTACTGTTATCGTCCGCCACCTTAATGCCGCACCGCTGCAGAAGTCCATACCTGAGTATGGGCGGGGGTTTTACCTACGTAAAGCCGGGACCTGCTTCCCAGTTTCGGCTACTGTTAGCTGCAGGCGGCTAAAGCGACTACTGTTATCGTCCGCCACCTTAATGCCGCACCGCTGCGGAAGTCCATACCTGCGTATGGGCGGGGGTTTTACCTATGTAAAGCTGGGACCTGCGTCCCAGTTTCGTCTGACCGAGCGAGAGTAGTTCCTGCGAACTATGGCTTCTGGATACCGCGCCGCCCAGTCGTACTGGGGATTCTTATCGGCGCGAGGCCCAAGCGGAGTCACTGATGACTATATATTCAAGACACTTGTCTCAATCGGTATCTTTCGATGCTCCCATAATGTGGTTGTGTCGTCTGAAGCCTACAACACTCTCACCTTGAGTTGCATGGCAGATGTAGATGGCGGTTTCGTTTCTTTGGGCACCGTTTCTTTGGTATGATGCCTTGTGTGTGATGATGGGGAAAAGGGGAAAAGGTAAAGGCACCCGCCATATCTTATCCTTGGATTCATATTCAAGATGACATAACCTGGTGACAAAATGAGCCCAGCATCAGCTGTGCATTAATAACCGGTGGTGATATACAAGATATTGACAAGCCTGCCGACAAGTGTGTCATGAATTTTCACACCATTCTGCAGGCGACACACATGCTATATAACAGACAGGATAGGATGTAGTAGCCAGTACACAGTACTGCACACATAACAACTACAAATACGCGCTAAGAGCGTCTACCAGCATCTACAGGAAAGCAGGACAGGCATCACCACTCTAGAAGCTCTGTACCTAATTGTACCTAACTGGTTATTATTGCAACAAATGCAACGCAACTACGAGGAACGAGCACAGCACAACTATTGGCAAGGTATCAAAATGAACTTGGTCCGTGACTGCCAACTCTACTTTTCTAGTTGCCCAGGTCGCCCAAAAACGTGTTATGAGGAAGCTCTCGCCAGAGTGTTGTGTGGTGTGTGACCTCTCATAGAGTTGTAGCCACGTGTGCACATCATCTGTCCTGCTGTCCTCTGCTGACCTCTTTTGTACCTGTGCAGCATGCTGCACCTGCTTGCGCAATAACAAGAGCAGAAAACAGCAGGTGCAGCACACATGCAAATTATTTTCTTGCCGCCCAGGGGGATATAGCATGTGCCAGCAGTCCTAGAAAGCATCAGAACTTACATCAAGGACAATATGACACAGTCCCAGAATATGTCCCAGAAAAATGCGCCAAATTAGGCTTACCTCGAAAGACATCTAGGACTGTGCAGCATCCCCGGAAAAGGGTGGCAGGGCGAACACCCTAAGCAGGGAATAACGAGGGAAGTGATATGGTCATCAGGGGCCTGCATGCAATCACATTCGAATAACACCAACGATGTTGGTGGCGAGGCCATGCATGTTTAAGTTACACCAGGTTACACACAGCTCACCCTGCGCCTGAAAGCAACACCGAGCCCTTTCCTTGACGCATCTTTACAATGTAGCAGGCGTTTACGACTATCGCACCGAAGGCGGAGGCAGCAGAGGCTACGACCACTTTCGCACCATGTCCGGGACCGTTGGGTCGCTCGAGCACAGGATTTCAGACCGCACTCAACTATGAGCGGTCTTTATAGCAGTACTTCTGCCCTCGCATTCAGGGTTATCAAGGCGGGCATTCTTTGGACCGACATCAGCGAGGGCCTGGCACCCCGGAACGACACCCCTGCTACGACACCGATTCATATCAAGACCATCATAACGCACTGGATGACTGTACTGTGCCATATCAAGACCATTGGCAAGGGCAACCTCCTATCCCTAAAGAGGAACAGCACGGCACGGAAGGAGGTCGAAGCAGCTCTCCTTAAAAGCATGAAAACGTGCATGCAGAATTACCAAGGCGGTAAGTTTGCAAATTGGGGGAATGTACATATACACCTGGGGGTAGTAAATCATGCATTGGAAAAGGGACCCCCGACAATAGCGCACTTTTCAATTTCCCCCCACTTGCAGTGTCAGTTCCCGACATGTACGATGGCTGAATGTGTGTGTACGTGCTATGGTGCAGGGCTCAAGCCAAAGGGCTACGAGGGCATGTTCAACACGGTGCGGACGGAGGTGAAACAGCTGAAGGAGCAGGGCACCTGGGAGGAGCCGACAGATGACATGCGGCAGAAGGCCGACAAGGAAGCCAGGGAGAAGGCCTTGGCAATCTTTGGGCGCATCAAGCAGAAGGCGGGTTTCGTGGACAAGAAGAAGGATGGTGGGTTTCTGGGATGGGCTGGGAGGAGGGTTGACTGGATGGATGGAAAGACTTCAGCGGTTTTACACTCTTGTAAGCACGATTTTGATCCCTACAATGTGATCATGATTTGCAGACACAGAGCAGGGCGGCAATGCAGCTGCCGCCGAAACACCAGCTGGTGCCGAAGAGGTAGCCCCTGTCCAAGT